CAACTTTCCTTCTGAATGTGGGATCATATTCTTTATTCCTGAAGTTATCTCTTAGAAGTTTCTTAGTGTAAGTATGTTTGTGGTAAATTTTCTTTATTTTTGCTTATTTGAAGATTTCTTTCTCATGCTTGAAAGATTATTTTGCTAAGTATACAACTCATTGTTGTTTACTCTTGGCACATTGAAAATATTGTTCACATCTAGCTTTCTCTATTATTTCCTTCTGATAGTACTATTAAATATACTCCAATTTCTTAACTTTTTTCTAAACTGTTATATCCCTTTTTAATTCTGTGTTGTGTTTTAGACAATTTCTTCAGATATCTATTTTAGTTCACTAATTCTCTCTTCTGCTAGGTTTAATTTACTGCTCAATACAGTCATTCGATTTCTAATTTAGTACTTACATTTTCACTTTTAGAAATACACTATTCATTGTTTAGACTCTCCTGTTCCTCAGTCTTATTTTAAATATTCTCTCCAATTTCTTAAACATAACAAAAACATTATATTTTATATCTAATGAATTAAGTAACAGCAATCTTTGAGGTTTATGCCTATAGTCTGCAGTTTTTTCCCTTCCTCAGGAAGGATTACTCCCTATGACTCAATGATTGAGAAGTGATTCTCCTTAAAACTTCCCCTAAAGAATTCTGAAGCCTTATTTTTTATGGCATTCTTCCAGATCAGATTTGTGTTTGCTTCGGCCAGAAACCTGAAAAATTTTTGTTTTTGTCCCACACATGTACTTTCAGGCACCCAAATAATACGAGCATAGGCTGAAACTCAGAAATTCTCAGGGGCAACCTTTCTTCTACCTAAAGCCAAGAATGAAACAGACAACATCTCTACTGTCCCCTTCTACTATGGGCTTTATTAACTGTTTATCCTTGTGGATCTTTTTAATGTTAGGGTCTTCTAGTTGTCCTTCTAGGGCCTATACAGAGTACCTCAATAGAAGGATTATATGAGAGTACTTCAAAAAGTTTGTGGAAAATGAAATTAAAATATGAGTTTATTTTGGTAGAAACATTTTTGAAATTCATGCATAATGTTTTATAAAAATTATATTTATCATTATTATTATTTTGAATTTGATACAGGGCACATGAACTCACCAAAGAGAGAGAAAGAGAGAGCAAGAGAGAGAGCGAGCAAGCATGCTGTCAGGTGTGGGACTTGAACTGTGATCAGCCATGTGCAATTCTAGTGCCTTAATGACCATGCCATCTGCTGGACCTATGCAATGTGTTTTTATAATATGCATGCTTCATGAACTTTCTGAAGACCTCTCACACACATTTTGCTGTCTTTGATGAAGGCCTACTGTCCCTCATTCATGATGGCATTCTCTTCTTTGAACAATAGATTATATAATTACCTACTATGAAAAATACTATTTCTCTATATACTTCCATAGAACACTTCTGATACCAGATACTATGGATTTTGTTTTCCCCCACCCCTACCAATTCTCTGACAACAGCTGAGTGTCCTACAATTTAATCCAATTCTAACTTTCTCTATGTGGAGTAAACATCAGATCCAGTAAGACTGTATTTGCAACAGGTGCCAGTTGCAAATATGGGCCTAGCAGACTTCTTCCTGAACAGATATGCACTGTGAGTTCCAACACTCCTCCTCTTGGGTTAAATGATTTTCTAGAAAGGCTCATGTAAGTCCATGAAACATACCATTTATATCTATTGGCTTATTATGAAGGATACAACTCAGAAACAGACAGATGGTAGAGATAAATAGCCCAAAGTATGGAACCACGGTTGGAGCTTCCATGCCCTCTTTGGATATACCACCTTACCAGTGTTGTTCACCAGCCCAGGTACTTCTCTGATCTTGGTGTTCAATAGTTTTTATTAAGCTTATTCTCCAGCATCACTTTGTCCCTCCCACCATTAGTGTAGGAGAGTTCCCCTTTCACTACAACCCTACCAACACTTAACACTTTTTGTATTTTGAATCTTCACCATTCAGATATAGGTTAGGTGGTATCTCACTGTGGTTTTAATCTGTATCTCCCATATGCTGAGAGATGTTGAGCATTTCCTAATATGCTTTTAGGCTGTTTGCATGTCTTTCTTAGAGAGATATTTGTTCAGAGTATTTCCCCATCTTTTAGTTGGGTTAATCTTTTTTTTTTCCCCCCTGGTAAGCCACTTGAGTTCTCTGTGTATTCTGGTTATCAGTCCCTTATCTGAGGCATATTTTACAAAAAGATTCTCCCATTCTGAGGGTTGTTGTTTCACACTAATTACTATGTCCTTTGCTGTACAGAAACTTCTATTTAATCTGATATAGTTCCACTTGTCTATTGTAGGGATTATTGCCTGTGCTTTGGAAGTCTTACTTATGAAATCTTTCTTTGCCTACTCCAATGTCCCCCAGAGGTTCCCCTGTGTTTTCCACCAGTAGTTTTACAATTTGACGTCTTAGATTCAGATCCTTGATCCATTTTGAGTTGATTTTTGTTAATATAGAAAGATGGAGATTTGGTTTCATCTTTCTGTAGGTGGATTCCCAGTTTTCCCAGCATCATTAGCTAAAGAGGTTTTCCTTTTCCCAGTAGATTGACTGGTATCCTTTGTCAAAAATCAGTTAGCTATAAATTTTTGGTTTTATTTCTGGGGTCTCTATTCTATTCCATTGGTCCACCTGTCTGTTTTTGTGCCAATACCATGCTGTTTTGATTATCACAGCTTTATAGTATATTTTGGGGTCAGGGAGTGATATGCCACCCACTCCACTCTTCCTGTGCAGGATTGCTTTGGTAATATGAGGTCTTTTATGATTCCAGACAACTACTATGATTGTGTTTTCTAGATTTAGACATTTCTAGATATCTAGAATGTTTCTGGTATTTTGATTGGAATTGTATTTAATATGTAGATTAACTTGGGTAGAATTGTGATTTTGATTATATTAATTCTTCCAATCTAGGAACATGGGATTTCCTTCCAATGTTTTGCATCATTTTCAATAACTTTTTTAAGATTTTCATAGTTTTCTTTGTAAAGGTCTTGAATTCCTTAGTTAGATTTATCTCTAGGTATCTTATACATTTTGTGGCTATGGTAAAAAGAATTTCCATTCTACTTGTTCATATATAGAAATGCTATATATTTTTAGATGTTAATTTCATATCCTGACACTTTACTGTATTCATTTATTACTTCGAGAAGTTTCTTTATGGAAATCTTTGGGTCTTCTAAGTATACGATCATGTCATCTGCAAATAAAGATATTTTCAACTCTTCACTGCCTATATGAATACATTTTATATTATTTTCTTTTCTGATTGCATTGGCTAAGTCTTCCAGCACTATGTTAAAAAGCAGTGGAGAAAGTGGGCAGTCTTCTCTAGTACCAGTTTTGTTTGTTTGTTTGTTTTTCAGTGGTTTTTTTTTTTTTTTTGAGAGGTTTTTGCTATAGGGCATGTGCACTCTCCAGAAAGACAGAAAGAGGCAGAGAGACAGAAAGTGAGAAATCAACTCCCAGGATTGCCACGCCACAATCCCTTCTTCTCCATTCTCCTCAGGATCTTAGGCATGCACGCACACAGGTCTGGTGTGAGTTTAAGCCATCAGGTCCGGGACTCAAATCGCAGTCGACTACATGAGAGTCCAGTGACATAGCCATTACGCCAAATGCTAGTCCCTCTAATACCAGTTTTTAGTGGAAAAGCTTTTAGCTTTTCCCCATTCAATATAATGTTAGCTATAGGTTTTTCATATATAGCTTTTATTGTGTTGAGAAATGACCCTTTTATACCAATCTTGTTGAGAGTCTTAATCAGGAAGGGATGTTGTATTTTATCAAATGCTTTCTCTGCATCAACTGAAATGATCATACGGTTTTTATCTTTCTTTCTGTTAATATGGTGTATTATATTTATGGTCTTGCATATGTTGAAACTCCCTTGCATTCTGGAATAAAGCCTACTTGGTCATGATGAATAATCTTTTTTTATATGTTGTTAGATATGATTTACAAGTAACTTGTTGAGAATTTTTGCATCTATATTCATCAGAGATATGGGTCTGTAGTTTTCCTTTTTTGGGTATAGAGGATATTGTGACACACTCTTTAACTCTGAGCTTAGCCATGTGACTAATTTGGCCAATGGAACATTAGTAACAATCTCTTGGGTCTTCTCCCATACACTTGAGTGTCCTCTTCCATGAGAACACAAGAATGGTCAGCTGACAGAACAGAGGACATACTGGAGTTGTCTCAGGACCAGCCATGTCAATCTAAAGCTGACCAGCGACATTTGATGAAGCCAGTGAAAATCAGAGAACCATCCAGCAACCTGTAGACTCATCAATTAATTTAGGCTGCATTAGAATACGTTGCTACACAGCATTATCTATAGTGATGGGTAACTGATAAAATAATGTCTTCGTCATCTTTCTTCTGCAAGTCCTATCAGTGTTTGCTATGTAGAGGGAAACAATAAAGACTTTTCTGTCACCGATTCTTCTCTGAGGGTGAGAAGAATGAGATAATTATGATTGCATCTCTCCTCTCTCCACACCTATCATAGTATCTACCATGTTTATTTATACCTATCTTTCTTCATGTTTCTCTCCTCCTCTAAACCATGGATAACTCAGAAATAGGAAGTTAGTTAATTACATGGACATCTATAGTACCTGGCACAGAGGAGGCCCTCAAACAAACAAATGTTTTTGCTTGAAATGAAGGAGCTGATGTGAATCAAAACAGCTGGCAGTAGATGGCAACCACAAGTTGGTTCTTATGCCAGAGGATTTCATGCTTTCTAAAAGCCCAAACAAGGGTGGATAGGAAAAAACAAAAACAAAAACAATAAAACAAACCAACAGAGAAACTACTCTCTGCACTCTTATCTCTATCACCACAGTGCACTCAAAGCTCACTGCCATCCATACCCCTAAAAGGTCCCTATGACTCAGCTTCCTTCTGCCAACTGTAGGAACTGTACTCTACCTCCAGGTCCTTACCTTCAGATCAGACACATCTCTGTAGCACTGTTCAGAGCGGGTGTGATCCGACAGCTGCACGTTCCAGAAGCAGGGGAGCTGATACACAAGGAAGGGGTTTTGTTTGATGACAGCATTGAAAATATCCTGAAAGATAAAAGCCAAAAACACAGTCAAGGCAGTGAGAAGGGCTCACTTATGATCTGTTTCTTGAGGTTCTGCATCCCCTGGGAAAGGGCTTTCTCTTGGGCCGCCTGCTCTGAACACAGACTGGCTCTCACTGTGGGTCATTTCTCTTGTCTGTTATCTCTAAGAACCAAGCAATAATATTTGGATAGAGGCAGGAGATTGCCCCAGGTTGGCTGTAGCTCATGGGTCCTTCTGGTCCCATAAAGCATCATCCAGTGTGTATAAGTGAGGCAGCCAAAGAACATCTTTCCTACCATTGCTGGCATATATGTAATAAATAAAGTCCTCTTGCTTTCCCTCTTCCCATTCTTTCCAGGAGCCCTGAGCCTCCTAGAGAGGAAATTGCATGATGACAAGCTCATTTAGAGGCTGAGATGAATTACAGATTCTCCTTTTTAATGCTCTTCCTGGGGCTTTGGCTAGACATGGTGATGGATGCTCCTTGGACTCCTGCAGGCCATGGTGCCCAGAGTGTGCATTCTCCATTTCAAAATCCAACCCCGACTTGTCCAGGGAGGCTTCACCACTTTGGGTTCTTCTCCAAAATCTCACATCAGGCCTTACTTATTAACTAGCTGCTGACAGGTGATGCCGGCAGGTGAATTATAGGTCTTCGTGGCAGGAGATGGCTGAATAAACTATCCTCATTGGACATGGACATACACTTGCTAGCTATTGGGGACACACTCAAGTCATTGTGGCCTGACTTAAAATATGAGGATGGTGTACAATTTCCCCCTTAGGTTTAAAATGGCTGTTTTTGTTTTTAAACTAATTTACTATGCTATATATCATGTTTGAAAAGGGAAGTCAGTTTCAAGTTGCTTGGGAAACAGTGAATTATAATGTTTAAAAAAATAGTGAAGTACCCTACAGAGTTTCTTATGCTCTATTAGACAACATTGTAGAAATCTGACAAATCAGGAAATTGAACACTGAACAAAAAAGCAAAGAGTAAGCTCCCTTTTTGGATGAAAGGAGGATGAAATGCAGAAAACCCAAAGAAATCATCTTTGTGTTTCCTGTACCTCAGAAAGATTAAAAAAAAAACTGAGTGAGTGATTCTGGTAGACCCAAGGTCAAAGATCTGAGCTCCCTGTCAAAACAAGGAATGAGTTTTTAAAGAATATTTGTTACAGTGTGGTGGAGTTCAAGGACTTTTCCAGTTTCCCTGGATAAAAAACTGTTTTTGGGAGCTAGGTGGTTTGCCCTTTGTATTTAAATGCATTTCTCTTCAGTGTAGGGCCCCTAGTTCAGGCTTTGCTTTAATTGTTAAGACTCTATTTGTCAGTGAGACAGAAGAAATATTCTTCAGAAAGTGTGCAGTGGCACTATGGTGTCTCAGAAGTCAGGCACTGTACATTCCATGCTGCCAATGAAGAAGGTGACCTCTTTCCACACAGCAGAGGGACATCTACTTATGATTCTGCTTCAAGAAACTATGAGCTCATTGAGGCCAAGGACTGTATCATTCATTTAGCTTTGTCTTCCTTTTTCAAAATGTAGCCCCTAATATACAATGTTCAGTGAAACTCTGCTGAATGAGCAAGTGAATGAACACAGGGAACAAACTAATGGGTTGAGCTGTTGACTTAGATGGGTAAATATAAGCAGCTCGAAGTATACAGTCATGTAATAGATAAAAAAAAAAATTCTGACTCATCTACTTTTAAGTTTCTTTGAGAAATAGTACCAAGGTGCTTAGGATTAGTATTTTCTAACCTTGTTGCTCACCTGATCAGCCAAGGATGTGGACAGCATGCCCATGAGTTCTCTTTCTGCAGTCAGTCTCCACATCTGCTCCCATTTCATCTTCCGCAGCTTATCCAAAAGCAGCAGTATCACCCCTGAGCAAAAGAGAATCACAAATTAACAGTAAGACAGACAGTCAGGCACACTTGTTCATAGCACAGCCACCACCCCACAGGGACAGTGTCTTGTGCAAAGAAGCTCCCTAAGGTATTTTCCTTCTAAAAGCTCTTGTAGTGAGAGTGAGACTTCATCATGCAGAGCAAACATTTTTAAGACAAACACATTCAGGTTCTGCCCCAGATGCTGCCAGGTACTCAGTATGAAACATTAAGCAATCTCTCTGAGTATCCTCATCACATGGAGAAGAGTGATGCAGCCCTCAAAGGCTGTCAGAAGGATTAAATAAGATGGGAAAAAGTGCCTACTTAGCATTTTCTGGAGCTGGATACTGGTGATGGTTACACAACAATGTGAATAGACTTAATGCCACTGAATTGTACAAGTAAACATGGCTAAAATGCTAAATTTACACAACATATATTATACTATAATGATAAAATACATATCATACTTTGTTGATACCTGATACATAGTACATTCTTTATAAGCACAGGTTCTCTCCTATTATTTTTTCCCAGATATATGACAACCAAACTAGGTTTAATTGATAAATTATATTTATATATATTATTTACTTTTAGAGACAAAAAAGCAGCTCTCTATCACTTTATCCTTGGTAATGTCTTTGTCACTTTTCTTGACAAGCCATATAGAGATGATTTCAAGGGACACTTTTGTGGCATGCCCACATCATCACAGAACTCAACTATGGTGAAAGCATAACGATACTGGGTCTTTACAATGAGGTGCAAAAGTCTTTGAGTTCATAAGAAAATAATACTCTGAGGTTGGTTCTCCTTGTCACCATCTCCTTTTTGGTATTTGTTATTTTTATGGAGTAAGACCTGGGCAAATGGGGGAATGTTCAAGCAGGGAACTTTCCATTGCATATACCTTTTAGCATCTTTTATTTCATCTTATTATTTTTTAAAGAAATAATCTTGCCATATCATGTATGATTCTTCTACCTCAGCCTCCCAGCTGGGGCTATAAGTGTAAACCACCAGGCCAGCCTTAAGTTTACAATCCTCTAGCCTCAGCCTCCCAAATCATTGGGATTATGGGTGTACACCACTATGTCTGACTTTTAGGTTGGACCAGAAATTGAATTTGGGTCTCCCATGTGGTCCCAGCATCTGGAGTGTAGCATCTCAGTCATGCATGCCACCATGGCTGGGCCTGTATTTTTAAAAATGTTGAAAAAACTAAATGTATTAATGAGGCAAAAAAATAATAAATCAATAAAAATCTCACAAGAAAAGTTTATTTTGTCTTAGCTGAGTAGCTTAAAAACAGCTATCTGCTATCAGGCCAGTTTGAGTGTATAGAGAAAGCACAGAGCACAACACAAAGAGCCAAAAGAATTTCCCTGCAGGCCACTGCAGCTAGTGTGGTACATGGAATTAAAGCACCTGTGGGTTCCCAAATCAATCCTCCTCAGGATGCTTGGCTCAGCAGAAAGGTCCACGGAGAAGACTTTGGGCAGTTTAAAAATGTACTTTGTTGATAACTGATATATACATTCCTAATGTTCTAGAAAAACTGATTCAGGACAAGCAGCTAGCATAATGGTTACGTCTCTGGACTCCCATGTAGTCAACCACAGTTCAAGTCCCAGACCTGGTGGCTTAAACTCACACCGGGTGTGTGTGTGTGCATGCCCAGGATCCCAAGAGAAGGGACTGCTGTGTGGCCATCCCCCCTGAGGGGGTAATGTCTTGCTCCATCTTTCTGGTGAGCGCACATGCCCAATAGCAAAACACCTCTCCAAAAAAAAAAAAAAAAAAAAAAAAAAGAGAGAGAGAGAAAGAAACTGATTCCCCCAAATCACTCCTAAACTAAAAGAGAGAGAGAGAAAGAAACTGATTCCCCTTAATCACTCCTAAAAGTCAGTTTAATACTTCTTATTTCAGTAGCACATATTTGCAACAGCGACAACAAAACATAGATTTGCCATTTAGTAAATGGTGCTTGGTCAGATAGAGTGAAAATGAAAAAAAAAAGTATAAATACATAAATATTTGTATAAATATATACAGATTTAAATATTGGACAAGCTCTTCCTATGCTAGCCAGGCCAGCTTTGAGCTTATAATCCTCTTGCCTCAGTATCCAGAGTCACTGGGATTATGGGTGCACACCACCATATCTGACTTTTAGGTTGTACCAGAAACTGAACTGCAGTATCTCCCGCACTATTTCAGTTTGCTATCAACTGCACTGGCAGGCTGGGCCTCTATGAACTTTTCGGAGAGCCTTCATACTAGATTCAATCAAACTCAGATCTGCCTGACACCAAAGGCAGTGTTTCTTCTACTATAACACATAGACAGGAGCCTTCGCAATACTAATTTAGAGACATGGGACTCAGGCTTTTTTATTTCCTCTTAAGTTTTACATGTAAGAGAATATATATGTGTGTGTGTATTACACACACAAACACACACACACACACACACACATTTGAATGGGAAGAATGTGATAAGACCCAGAGATCTGAACTTGTCAAGTCAGAAAGGCAAACGGCATTAATGATCTCTTTTGTGCTTTGTTATTTTTTTTAATGCATATCACTTCCCATAATGCTACCAATATCTCTACAAGACTGATTCTGTCAGATTTATTTCACAGATGGAGAAACTGTAGAGCAAGGTCCAACACTTGCTCAGTTCACAACAGATATACATGGGGACTTCAAAAGTCCATAGAAAAATGGGAACCAGCAGTTAGCGTAATGGCTATGTCGCTGGATTCCCACGTAGTCGACCGCGGTTCGTGTCCCGGACCCGGTGGCTTAAAACTCACGCCGGGCGCGTGTGCGTGCGTGCCCAAGATCCCGAGAGGAGAATGGAGGAGAAGGGATTGCGGCGTGACCATCCCCCCTGGGGGGTGATTTCTCGCTTTCTGTCTCTATGTCTCTCTCTGTCTGTCTGGCGAGCGCACGCGCCCTACAGTGAAAATCTCTCCAAAAAAAAAAAAAAAAAAGTCCATAGAAAAATGGAATTAACTGGTGCAAAACTTTGACCATGTTTACTTTCTTCATAGTAAGAATTTTTTGCAAACATTTTAAAAGTTTATTTTATTCATCACAGAAATTATGCATGCATATATAAGAGAGAGAGAGAAGCACCAACAAGCTCTCATCAGATCACAGTCCCCTTCCCCTGGCCCTCCAGCTTTTCAGGATTTGGGGCATTTTGCATGTAGCCAGTATGTTTTCAAGCTGATCTGGGGACCTGAACTCACAGTCAGTCATGTGACTTCCAGCACTGCAGTTCAGTTTGCTATCAACTGTACCACCAAGGTTGGCCTCCACGAATATTTTGAAGATCTGTTGCAATAGATTCAATCAAACTCAGATCTGCCAGATTCCAAAGGCAGTGTTTCTTCTACTATAACACACAGACCTGAGCCTCAGCAATGTTGCTTTAGAGATGTGGGACTCAGTCTTCTCACCCCTCCCCTTAATTTCTCTGTGGAGAAATGAAGACTAAATGCAGAAATCCAGGACGTTTACCACGTCACTCAGCCTTTCTTTGTGTGTTTTTATTTTTATTTACATGTTTTAAATGTGAAAGGTCAATTCATTTATTTATTTATTTTTTCCTATGGGAAAGAGAGACAGCGAAAGAGGCATCACCAGAGAAGCACACTGTGATCCATCCCAGTCTTGGCCAACCTGGGTCACGGGTCAGCATGTGCCTATGTGCTCAGGGAGGTCTCGGGATGTGAGCTGAGGACCTGTCTCATGTGTCCGGTTGCAATGCTACTGAGCCATCACCTGGCTCCTTTTAGGTGGCTTTAACTTGATTTCTAAAATTATAAACTATTTCAAACCAACAGAAAAGTACAGAAACTAATATAACAAACACCCTGACCTAGACATAATAAATGCTAACATACTGCCACAACTGTTGTTTAAAAAGATAAAACATTACAGGTACAGCAACAGTTCTTCCATCTCATTCTGCCTTCTCGCTTCCTCAGAGGCAACCACTGTCCTGTGGTGGTTGTGTTTCATTCTCTGTGAATTTTTCTATTTTAATTTTCTATGCATAAAATAAATATATGTGATATTTTTAGTATATCTTGATCTCATATTTCCTGTGCCAATGTGCCTTGTCACCTATTATTACATCTTTAAGATGTAAAAATGTATTTCACTATCTAGTTTATTTATTGTAATCACTTTTCATTTTATAAGTATACCACAGTTTATGTATTCCCCTATCTAAGGACATTTTGGTTGTTTCCTATTTTTTGCTGTTATAAACAATACTGCTGTAAGTATCCAAATCCTGATTCATGTCTTCCTGAGCATGTGCCTAGGAGCTGAGCCTGGGAAATGCCTCCAAAGTTGCACAGACATTGCCATGTTGACGGTGCTGCTTGTCTTGAAACAGCTTTGACTACTCCATCTTCTTTTGCTCTTATAGTCAGGCCATGACTGAGTCTTAAAGACTCTATATGTTTAAAAAAGACCTTGAAAACTATTCTTTCATTCATTCATATAATAGTTATTAAGTACCTACTATGTACAAATTAACAAAAATAGACTAGTATTTGTTTTTCTTCCCTACTTCTCCCAATCTCACCAGCTTTATTTGAAACATTAATCCAGTGTAACGTTCAATCTCTGCTGGGCCCTTTTATGGAAATAAAAAAATGAGCAAATCTTTCAGACTTGTGCACTACTGCAATTCAATGTGATGGTGGCAAACAGCACGTGCTGTTTACGAAGGGCATTCCACGGAGAGAGGCCTAGAATCTGGTCAGGTAGATGGATGGGAAAAAGGGACGCGTGAGTAAACAGCATGGACAAAGGCACGCAAGGAGGAGGCAGCATGGCAAGGTGAGGCTCTGCAAGATCTAGAGCATGTGATGGCTAGATGGTTTAATGACAATATTCAGCACAAACACCAGGATGTGAGCTGAACAGATGAGCAGAAAAGAGATCAGGAGGAACCTTGAGTCT